GTTCAGGTAGGTCTAACAGTGAAGGCGGGGATGAAAAACAAAGGGAGGTGTCCCCATTCTCTCTTGATGGAGTGGACGTGGCAGGGGGGACCCAAGACAGGTCCATGGGAGGTTGCGAGGGAGTCTTTGATGGAGGGGCAGGTGGTTGAGGAAACCCCAGCACAGGCCTGTCTGCTGTAGGCTGGGGTGAGGATGGGGGCTTCAGAGGCGCTGTAGATGAAGAAGGCGTGGCTGCTTTGGAGCAGGCTGGGGATGAGGATGTTGGTGGTGGTGGTCGTGCTGCTACTAGTGATGATACAGCTGCTGCTGCTGGTGATGATGCAGCTGCTTCTGATGACAGTGGAGGTGTTGAGATCCTTTGAGGCGGTGATGGTGTTGAGATCCTTCGAGGTGGTGGTGGTGTTGAGATCCTTCGAGGTGGTGGTGGTGTTGAGATCCTTCGAGGTGGTGGTGGTGTTGAGATCCTTCGAGGTGGTGGTGGTGTTGAGATCCTTCGATATAATATCATTGGGCCTCATTCACGAACGGTTCTTAGGAACAGATGTGTACGTAAATCCTACTTACGCGGTTTTTACGAAGAAAGTGGCATTCACGAATATTTCTCGTAACCAGAATTTCTCTTGGGCAAGTACAAATCCTACGAGTCCTCAGGAGCACTCGTACGCATTCAGTGCCGACATGTTCACACGCCGGGGTTGTCCTCTTTGGTGAAGTTGAATAAAAATACAACATTCCAGTGATATGTCCGTCATATCGATGTATGCATTTATTTATTTGTAGTAATCTTTATTTATATACCGCGTTTTTCACTGCAGATCTGGCCTACTTTTTAATTCATTTTGAAATGAAATGTGCCAACGCTTTATCAAATACATTGGAAATCTTGCCGTGTATTAGTGACCCCTTCCTATTTATAGGGGGCATTTCTTTATCCACGGGCCACAGAACAACGGCATATATACTGCTGCTGCAGGAGGTTACTGGGTCCGCGCTGAGTCTCTGCGCTGGTCTCTCCTATGGATCTATACGGGTCTGCACTGGTCTCTCCCATGGATCTATACGGGTCTGCACTGGTCTCTCCCATGGATCTATACGGGTCTGCACTGGTCTCTCCCATGGATCTATACTGGTCTGCACTGGTCTCTCCCATGGATCTATACTGGTCTGCACTGGTCTCTCCCATGGATCTAGACGGGTCTGCACTGGTCTCTCCCATATACGGGTCTGCACTGGTCTCTCTCCATACGGGTCCGTGCTGCATGCTCCTGGATCCATACGGGTCCGCGCTGGTCTCTCAAGTCTGGTCTATGCGGTCTATCGTCGGTCCGCGCTGGTCTCTGCGCACCGGTCTCTCCAGTCAGGTCACTCCAGTCTATGCGGTCTCTCCTATAGGTCCGCGCTGGTTTCTGTGTGCTGGTCACTCCAGTCTCTCCTCGGGTCTGCATTGGTCTCAGCGCTGGTCCGTGCTGGATCTCCTCCCAGGGTCCAAAATATTTTGAGATTAATCTCAAAACATTTTGAGATTCATCTTTAAAATAATACATAATATATTTTTAAATTAAGCTCATAACATTTTGAGATTAATCTCATCATATTCTTAGATTAATCTCATAATTTTGCTAGTTCGACTTTATTATCATAATATTTCGACTTTTAAGTCAACATTTTATAACTTTATTCTCAGTCTGGTAAAAGAAGAAAAAAGGGTGAGTCTTTTGCTCCGTGGCCTGTTGCTGTTTCCTCTGCCGTCTGCACACGGCCCTGCAGTCCCTTATATGGGCATTAGTGGGCGGTTACTTATGCTAAGTACCTATGCTAATGAAGCACCTGGCACGCGCGCTGTACTTACGAGGAAATGGGATTCATCAATCTGAGAGAACAGCTGCGAACAATTCAGCGCCTTACGAGTGCGTTGATGAATCCCACGTGGGGACTTCTTAGAAATCTACTTAAGGACAACTTGAGAAGAAAGTTGAGTAGTTTCTTACGAAGTTATTCGTGAATGAGGCCCATTGTGCTTTGTTTTGTTATTAGTCAGATTGTTTAAATGTTTCCAAAGGGAGTTGTTATGATTCCCTCTGGAGTTGCCAATAAGCTCAGTGTAGTAAGAGGCTTGTGCTTTACGCAGCTCCTTCACTACTTTCATAAACTTTTGTATATTTGATTGTTTGTACCAAGTTTTGTATTTAAGGATTTCTTGAGAGCATTTAGTCATGGGGTGGCAGGCGTCATCTACATTCTCCATTAGACATCATTTGTTTTATTTCTTTTTCAACTTACAGAGATTTTGTTTTTGGAATGACCAGTTTTACTTTTTCATTTGTGTGATCAGATTTACCAAAGTAATTAAGACTTTTTTTGTCAGCTTTCTAACTGTCAGGGTCATGTTATGGTCAGAAAGTCCAGTTACGAAGTTATAGGTCTGAAGAAGATGACAAAGTCTGGGATCGCGTCAAAACATGAAGTGGAAAAGTACAGGCTTCTGCACATTGATAGAATGATGAGTTTAACTTTAACAAAAGTTGCTTAAAAGTGTTATGAAATCTCACATTCCCCCCTCTGGTCACACATTCACGTGTGACCATCAGGATCGATAAACAGCAACATAACATCATAACTCAATACTTAAACTCTGTACTTCACTCGGTACTTCAAAAAACTCAGAACTCGGAATACTTCAAAAACTCAGAAAACTCATAAAACATTTTCAGATCTTTCATAAAACTTGTCAACAATCTTCAGCAAAATACCAAACTTCATCAGTCGATGGTTCCAGATATTGCTTTGAAAACAGTCTCTCCCACTTATCCATGTTTCTTCAGGCTGCATTTGTTGTCGAGCCATGAATTCTTCTGTGACGTGTCTTTGAATCACACGTTTCAGCTTCAGTGTCCAGATTCAGCAATTCAATTGTTCCAAATGATGTCCATGCAAAAGAGGACGATGGTGCTGTCCATGTCTCAGCAGCTCACAGCCTGAGTGGAATCGGGGGCTGTGCAGGTTGTCCATGTGCTGATCCAGATGCATGGTTTCTCTTGAGGTTTCTCAGTTTTGGCTTAAAAAAAAAACACTCTTTGTGTAAAAAAAAAGTAGTCTTCTGTTCTGTAGATGTTACAGACAAGGCCCACATTCTTTCACCACCTGAAGAAGATGGCATGTCTGGGATCGCGTCTTTAATTCAGACAGAAGACATGTTTTATTGTCGATGGTAGAGACAGCACGAACAACACGAACACAGAATGCAAGTGTATTATACAGAGCGGAGGCATGGAGACCTCCAATCAGCAGCTTCCACGGTGCCAGTAGAGATAGTCAAAACATGAAGTGGAAAAGTACAGGCTTCTGCACATTGATAGAATGATGAGTTTAACTTTAACAAAAGTTGCTTCAAAGCGTTATGAAATCTCACAGGTCCTTGTGATACGCTCAGGTTTGTTAGTAAATACCATGTCAATGTCTGGTGATGCTTGTCGGCCCCTTAATCATTTGGTGGTCGTAGGATTTACTCATTAGTGTTTTCAGTTTTTGCTTAACACAGTTGTCAGACCAATTGATATTGAAGTCACCGTACCATAACGTCTCTGTATGAGTTGTAGTGGAAATTCTAATACTTCAATGAATGAATCCGAAGAGCAACAGCTTGTCTTTGTGCAATTAATTTACAGAGGTGATGAATACAAACAAATGACATTTCTCTGCAGAGAGTGTCGGACCGAAGCTGTGCGCACGCGGACGTTTTGCACAGACCCAATCTGACCCTCCCGTATCAGCATGTTGATAATTATACTAGAGGCGTGAATCAAAAGAACAATGAGCAGACGTCACGGACTCTGCGGTGGGGGCGAGATGGGATGAGTCATGTAGAGGGTCAGATAAGGGAGACGGACAGAAACAGATACAAGAAGTTCTTTGCGGGAACATTTGAGATAACACGAGGGTACGTTTGAGATAGCACACCTGCAGACAGGAACAAGGCCATGGGGAAGAGGACAGCAGAATGTCCCTTTGTGTTGAAGACAAGAGAGCCTTTGTGTAATGTATCAGTAAGTTATGGGAATACAATCTCTAGTGCTGGGAAACTATAAAATGTATCTGTCAGCTGCACAACACAATCTCCGATGCTGGGAAACTGACCACAACAGAGTCCACCTTTTCAACTACCAAGCCAAATTCCTCATAAAAAGCAGTGGTATGAGAAGGTGGATTATAAATGGCAACGATGTTGAAGTTCATTGTTGGAGACAGGGTTATATTCAATGCTAGACATTCAAGGGTAGTGTCCAGTTCAATTACATTGCATTTGAATTGGTCTTTTGTGTAGATGAGTACACTCCCTCCCTTCCCAGAGCTTCTGTCTTTTCTAAAGAATTGATATCCCGAAATGTCAATCATATTTGTTGGGATATTGCTATGGAGCCATGATTCTGTAAAGCACATGTAATCTAGGTTAGACTCCAGGAGAAGAATGGAGATTTGATCTCTTTTGGAGATTATGCTCTGGATGTTCAGGTGTCCTCCCATTATTCCTTTTGGTTTACATGCTGGTTCCCACAGCACTCTGCAACAGTCTTCCTGAAGATGTGAGACAGGCCTCCTCTCTGACAATGTTTAAAACCAGGTTAAAGACAGTTCTGTTTAGCTGTGCATACAACTGAGGGATTTTATATTTTTATCTTTCTTTTTAATGTTCTGTGATAATTTATGATTTTAATGCTTTCTTGTTTTGTTCAGCACTTTGAATTGCCTTGTGTATGAATTGTGCTATATAAATAAACTTGCCTTGCCTTGCCATTAACAGTTTGAAAGAAGAGATGTTGTTTTTGTTTATGTCCAGCGCGGCCAGTATGCACCGCACACAGGCCGTGAGTCTGGATCAGAGACCAGAGTCTGACAGAAAGTGTTTTTCCAGTAGCTGTGTTCCTGTCAGTGACAGCAACTAATGTAAAATACAGGTTTATTAAACATATTTAAAGACATGTGTAAACTGTTCTCTTCCACAGTGGCACCAACAGCAGGAAACCTCTGTGTCCTTCACATTTTTCACATGTAGCTTACGACAGAGAGGCTCAGTTTGAATGAGTCTCCTGCGCCCCCTGCTGGTTCTGTGACGCACACACAGGGCAGACACTTGTTTCCTCTGAAACAGAAGGGAGGGGCTGGTGACGTCACATCTGAAAGTGAAAGTATTTGGACAGAGACGTGTCTGCGACAGGTGAGTCTGACTTTACTTTAATGTTTATTATTAGGATCTTATAGTTTGTGATTGTGATCCACTTGTGTAGAAAACAGTTTCTCTTCATAGTGACTTTAACATAGTGTTGTCTTTATCAAAGTGTTGGACTGAAGCAGGAAATAAAGTCTGGCCTGAAGTTTAGGCCTGTGCTAATGTCTCTATAGTAGTTTATGTAAATGATTACAGCTTTTTTAAAACAGTTCACATGTAAACAGTGAAATAAATATATCTGTGGTTTCTCCTCCAGCCGAGTGAATGTGACCATGGCTTCAGAGAGAGAGCAGATACCAGGAACCATCAGCGAAGAAGCAGCAGGGGGCAGTACTGAGCCAGGTGTCTGCGTCAGAACAACGTGAGTATCATGTTTCAGTCCAGTCAGTTCTACAGCACAAACACTACAGAAACAGCTGCAAACCTGTCCCCTTTAGGAGCAGAGGAGGAGTTTAAAGTAAAACAGGACTGTTTGTGTTGTCTTCTTTTGCGGCTCAGGGACAGAATTCTATTCAACTAGAATTCTATAAACCAAGTTTGTTTTACGGAGTAAGTAAGTAAGTAAGTAATCTTTTATTTATATACCGCCTTTTCACTGCAGATCTGAGTCTCAAAGCGGTTTACAATTGTTAATTTTTGGGCATTTGTCTCTCACTCCACACAGAGATGGGAGCGGGGTCGCCAGTACAGGAGGCGCATGCTAGAACTATTGGACATATTTTTAGTGGTAGGGGAAACCGGAGTACTCGGAGGAAACCTACGCAGACACGGGGAGAACATGCAAACTCCACTCAGAAAGGCCCTGGTCCGACCGGGATTCGAACCCAGGACCTTCTTGCTGAGAGGCGAGAGTGCTATCCACTCAGCCACCGTGCCGCCCGGTGAAGTTACGGAGTTACGGAGTTACGGAGTTACGGAGAAGCTGTAACTAAAGTATAAGTAAATAGTAAAGTTCTGAAATGCAGTAGAATGCAGTTCATTATTTGGAGTTGGCCTCTTTACTCTGAGTTTGCAGGTCTGAACATTTATATATTTCTAAATGACTAAAACCAAGCAGCAGAAACGTGTTCCTCTCGTCGTCAGCGAGAGCCGTGGGAACAAATGCACTGATGTCAGTGGTTTAGTCTGGACTATTATGAACTGCTTTGAAAAGAGGATTCTGAATGTGCTTTTCAGACACAGGGACTGCAGTGGTTAGAGCTCAGGACTCGCTTCCATCTGCTTTAAGTCCTTCTGTTGATCTGAATCTAAAATGACACATGATTTAATATTCTTTTTAAATCATGATTTCACTTGATTATGGATTGTTTGATCGCAGTCATTTAACGAAGTCCAAATGTTTGTATTCTGTTGATGGTTGAACCATGGACCCAGAGTAACATGGTCTTTCTCTCCACACAGATCCTCAGTGTCCAGTGCTGTGTCCCTGAAGAGTGACTGGTCTATGAGGATTCCACCAAACTTCAGTCTTGAAGCTGCTTCTTCAAAACCACAGTGAGAACAAAGGAAACACTAACACTGATCTGACTTTAGATTACATTTAGTTCTGTTCAATCCCACCTGGTGTATTTTGGTTGTTTCAAACTCAAAAGCTCTATTAAAGGAGCAGACTTTGTCCTAAATGCTTGTGTTACGGATGTGTATGGTGTATGGTGCTAATTCTTATGGTTCAAACATGAAACACGATGGGTGTCGATCAGGACGTCGGAGAGGAAGGTAGGGAGAGACTGGATTGAAGCTCCAATATTTATTACAGCTGCACAGAACGATAGTCTGCAAACACAGACTAATACTATAAAGAACCAAACATATTATTCAATAACTTCTTCTAAAATGATGTGTTCTTATATACACTCTCATATTCAGTACATGTCAAATATTATTAATAAACACAACATACATAAACAGCATTAAAGGCTGTATAAAGAAGTTCCCTGAAGAGGGCGCCATTTCTCAGACGGGCCACTGAGTAATGTCGCCCTCTAGCGACCGCGGAGGTCATTACAATATTCACACAAAAACGTGACAAATTGTTAATGTTGAACATGAAAATGAGCTGAATATGCTCCAAGATAGTGACACACTACACTGAAGGTACACACATTATAACTTATCACAGAACCACACTCCACACACAAGGACATGATTTATTGTTGATCCAATCCCTTTACCTCAACAACATCTCAGATTTCAAAGCCTGAGGCCTAAATTCACTGAACAAGTTATTGTCACAGTTTGGTGCAATATTCTGAAAATGTGCAGTTTACAACAAGAACAATCTTCTGAAAAATGTCAAATGGAGTGACAGTGTCTAGATAATGTGACGTAAGAGGACAATAGTATTAGCAATGTAAGATTACATGTTTTAAATTACCAAATCAGATTTATCTCAGCACAGTATTTTCCAGCTCAGTAAGAGGAATAAAACAGTTTTTGAATTATGAAAATTGGATAAGTGGTTATGATTTTATTACCATATTGATAAGTGCTTTTAGGTGCTTATAGTGAAAGTAATTTGGTTTAAAACAAAGGGATACTGTGGAACCTTCTATTCAGCCAGTTCAAGCCTTTATTCATCTTCTAAGTGCTGTAACTTCCCTATTTTACTAACTATAAACATTAAAATTCACAGTAAAGAAGGAAAAAAATTCAGGGATGTTGAATTTGATATTTATTTTACAATATGGCCGACCCCAATTCCAATATGGCCGCCAGCTTATCCAATATGGCTGCCAAAAGGAAATCCGGAAAACATTTTTTTCAAACTGCATATGTAATATATCAAAATGAAGGTAATTGATGGAGCAATCTAAATATGATGCTTAGAAATGTTTTTGGCATATGCACACACACGTGTTATTTATGAGACTAAAGTTACAGACCCCAGCTTTAAACATGTGTTATTTATGAGACTAAAGTTACAGACCCCAGCTTTAAAAATGTGTTATTTAAAAGACTAAAGTTACAGACCTCAGCTTTAAACTTGTGTTATTTATGAGACTAAAGTTACAGACCTCAGCTTTAAACTTGTGTTATTTATGAGACTAAAGTTACAGACCTCAGCTTTAAACATGTTATTTATGAGACTAAAGTTACAGACCTCAGCTTTAAACATGTGTTATTTAGACTAAAGTTACAGACCTGAGCTTTAAACATGTTATTTATGAGACTGAAGTTACAGACCTGAGCGTTAAACATGTTATTTATGAGACTAAAGTTACAGACCTCAGCTTTAAACATGTGTTATTTAGACTAAAGTTACAGACCTGAGCTTTAAACTGTTTTTTTATGAGACTAAAGTTACAGACCTGAGCTTTAAACATGTTATTTATGAGACTAAAGTTACAGACCTGAGCTTTAAACATGTTATTTATGAGACTAAAGTTACAGACCTCAGCTTTAAACATGTTATTTATGAGACTAAATTTACAGACCTGAGCTTTAAACATGTTATTTATGAGACTAAAGTTACAGACCTCAGCTTTAAACATGTGTTATTTAGACTAAAGTTACAGACCTGAGCTTTAAACATGTTATTTATGAGACTAAAGTTACAGACCTCAGCTTTAAACATGTTATTTATGAGACTAAAGTTACAGACCTCAGCTTTAAACATGTGTTATTTAGACTAAAGTTACAGACCTGAGCTTTAAACATGTTATTTACGAGATAAAGTTACAGACCCCAGCTTTAAACATGTTTTTTATGAGACTAAAGTTACAGACCCCAGCTTTAAGCATGTGTTATTTAGACTAAAGTTACAGACCTGAGCTTTAAACATGTTATTTATGAGACTAAAGTTAAAGACCTCAGCTTTAAACATGTGTTATTTACGAGACTAAAGTTACAGACCTCAGCTTTAAACATGTGTTATTTACGAGACTAAAGTTACAGACCTGAGCTTTAAACATGTTATTTACAAGACTAAAGTTACAGACCCCAGCTTTAAACATGTGTTATTTAGACTAAATTTACAGACCTGAGCTTTAAACATGTTATTTATGAGACTAAAGTTACAGACCCGAGCTTTAAACATGTTATTTATGAGACTAAAGTTACAGACCTGAGCTTTAAACATGTTATTTATGAGACTAAAGTTACAGACCCCAGCTTTAAACATGTTATTTATGAGACTAAAGTTACAGACCCCAGCTTTAAACATGTTATTTATGAGACTAAAGTTACAGACCTGAGCTTTAAACATGTTAACTAACCCAAACCCCCTTGTTAACATGTAAAATGGATTAGTTTTTGATGCAGAGTCAAGCAGTATACTTTGTTTTTTTCAGTACAACCTGGGGTTTTAGAATATCTATATTTTAGAGCTGTCATATCAATTATATAAAAAATGTGGAGTCATGAAGACAAAGAAAAAATCAAAACGGAAAATCAATTTCACAAAAATGTATTGAAAAACACAATGAAATGCTATAAACAACTTTTTACACTGCATAGAAATGTTATTTATGGTCTTGGGGATAATGGGGAAAAAATTTGAATCCGTGACTATTATACTTTTTACAAAATTCCTCTATAAAAGCCAAAAACGCTGTACTCCTGATGCCCTTCCTCAAGCAGTTGGCTATGAGGCTGTGGTTGCTTCTGTTTCACAGCTGTAAAATATGTAAAACAAAAGAAACTAAGACAAAAAAAAAAAACCATCTAATTTATATATACAAATACATTATATACACATAATATAATTTTACTGTATTTATTATTGTCTATTCTCAATAATGCGAACTCCTCTGGTTCCTCTGAGCGCTGCTGCCTATGCTGCAACAAGTAAACACAGAGGAGTGAGAGATCCTACTCTCTGACAATCTTTGTCTGAGTCCCCGTGTGTGTAAACAACTTCACACGCTGTGCCTGGCTCACGGGGCACGGCTTGAAGATCCGTTTGGGGGACTGACTTTCATACACACGTAGTTTATCCCCCGTATGTAGCAGATACAAACCGAAGGCAGTTTCGGAAAGGCTGGAATGTGTACTTCACGGAGATAAAAAAGTAAGTTGCTAGCGTTCATCGTTCGCGAGTAAATTGATCATCTGTAAAACATGTGCGCCACCATCGTCGGCGATGGCATCGTCTTTTAAGGGTTAATATTTTTCCCGAAAATGAGATATATACAATCCCGGGAGAAGACAACGCTTTTCCCGGGAAATCCGGGTTTTTTTTTAAGTTGTTGTTTTCAGCCCAAGTGATGTATGATATCACTCAAATATGCGTTCCCAAATCGCAAAATGGCATTTTGATATTATTTGTGTCATTATTAGGCCAAAAGAACACACAGTTTATGCCCATCGATAGTTTGCAATTATCATTTCTGCTGCGTGCGTGATAGGCTCTGCCGCAGCACGCTATGAAATGCCAAGTGGCAACCCGGTTCCTTATAAAACTGATATATTACAGATTAACTGACAAAATCTCCTAAAGTAAACCATGGAATGATACCTAAAACATTCTGATAAACGAAATCCATGATTTGGCTATTGAGATTTGTTAACGGCTGCACAGTGCACACGGGAATAATCACTCAAAGTTAACAAAATGTTCCTTCATTAAGGTTTGGTGAGTTTTCGTGCATGTTCAGTGGGTCAAATATGAGATCAAACAACAGAAAACCTAAATACCTTTATCCCCATGTAAACCTTTACTCAGCCTGTAGGGGGCGCTAACGGGCCAATGTCATTGTTCACACTGTCATGTGACCCAGGAGTTGAAAAACCGAGTCAAGTTTAGTGCAAATCAGAGTTTGTAAATGTGCTCCTGTTTGCACATACAATCTGTGAGTGTGTTCATACAGTCTCCTTGGATAACATGGGAACTTCACTTTTCTATATGAAAATAACCACACTTTGACTAATTCATATTCTATATTCAACTATTGATGGTCCATGTGTTGAGACCATGTGGAGCAATTATCAGCCAAATTAGTGAAACGGCCGCGGCGAGTTTGATGTTGGAGCGAGGTGTACTTTTCAGAGATTTAACGATTTTCACATAGACACAGACAGGGGAGTGTTGATCATCGCCACGGCAACAGGGTAAAAAATAATCATATGTTGTCATTGACTTTTTGAATCCAGATGACAAAACAGAATTATGTGCAAAATTTCAAACATTTTGAAAAAAATAAATTTAAAAAAGCCCATGTAAAACTTTGACATAGTCTGTAGGGGGCGCTAATGAGCCAATTTCATTTTTTCAACTTTCAAATGACCTAGATCCTGGAGCTGAACAATGGATAAAAATTCGGTGCAAATCCGGTTTGGTTTGTGCAAACGGGAGCAAATTTACTTTTGTCAAAAATTGAAAAAAAAAAAGGTCACATTTAGCCGCTCCGCTGCTCGGACAACGTTTAACTGATCCAAATTCTATATTCAATAATTGATGGTACATGTGTTTAGACCATGTGGAGCGATTTTGACAAAATTTCAATACTTTTCATCAATGTTCAGGGGGTCAAATTAAGGTTCAAAGCGCAGAAGAAAAAA